TTTGATTGTAATTTAGAGTAACACTTTAGCCCTTACATCACAAAAATGATCTGTAAGAGATGTATCTTCGGATTTTATTCAGCCCCTGATACACAGCACCTACACAGGGCCACTCTGATGTCTGAACTCTTCTCCTCCCTACTTTTGCACTATTTCTACTGTGTTGGTTGATGCCCTGGCAGACAAACTTAAATCTTATATTTACACCCTGCCTTGTTTGCTCCCACCTGAGCAAAAGTCAAAGGGTATGTGGCACTGCTGCTTCCCAGATGGCAGTAAAAGTTGTCATTCAGAGACTACACAGAAAAGGATGGGGAACCATCATAAAACCTGTCTTTCCACATCATTTTAACGATGCTTTTCAGGGCAAAACCCATGAGCTTTACATTACATCATTGACTTATCCATCTTAATGGAGAGTTGACACCATTTAACTTCAATTCAGACAACATTTCTGCTGTGCCCACAGATCCAATAGATCTGCCTGCTGCGTTGATCTCCACCGTACTTGTTTTCTAAATTGTACTTTGAAATTAGGTGGTTTATATAATCCCATTATATTCTGGCTTCAATTAAAACACTGGCATTGAATCTTCACAATCACTTCCAGAATAACTGAGAACAAACTCATAAACACTGAATATTTTGAGCTGAATAAAGAATGTAAGAGACTGATCATTGATCAGATGCAGAAATGTGTTTCCAGTCACACAGGAATAAGAAAAGTAGTTTAGAATTTTATCTTCTTTTCTCCACTGAAGAATAGGCAGGTGAGAGCTGTTGAGATATTTCCTTAACCAACCTATAAAAGACATGTTGTAACTTCTCAGTGATGAAGTTTCTGTAATATGCTGGGGGGTGTTTGGGTGAAATTTTATAGAGAACAATTTAAATCTGTTAGAATCAATTGCTCACTTGAAAAAATCTATTTCTTTCTTCCTCAAGTCATAATGAAAAATAAATTTGTCAGGCTTATGCCTTCTATCTGAAAGGCTTACTGTGCTATATCAGACCAGGTGTTCTTGTACCTCATGCTCTCAGAAACTTTAAGGCATGGTTAGGCATTAGCATATCTAGTTTGGAAAGGGTTAAATAACGTTATTTCTGTGGTCTCCGTGGCTGGTAGCATGCTCAAAGTGCACAAAGCTCAAGACATGTGCATTCTTCGTCCAATAACTTGTCCAGTAATTGGTATATTGATTGCTAATGTCATCATGTTTTAGTATATATAAACCCTCTCACTCTATCATACAGCCGCCAACAATCCAAGAAGTCATTGTTTATTCATTGTAACTCCCAAACTGGCCGTGTCAGATTCTGCTTCAGGCCTTGCTGATAAAAATCAGGAGATGATTGGGCACACACATTCTTGACATGGCTGACCCATGACATCTTAGGGCCAGCAGGGAGCCTGTCATTATGTGTACAATACTCTTCTTTCTTCCCCCTTATCTATTCCCAGATGACTTTGAGATTTTTATTAACTCATTAATGACTGAAGATGTCATTAAAGAAAGTGGGAAGGAGGGGGGAGAAAGACATTTTGTTTGTTTGTTTAAAAGTGGGGAGCAGCAAGCCATTGGCTCCACTTGGAGAAAGGTGGGGAATCTTTAAGACAATGCTGAAGGATATCCAGAGGAAAAGATCGTTAGCTCATTAGGATGACTAAAGCCAAGCTTTGAAGGGAGAAAAAATATTAGGCCATATTTGAAACACAACTGAGGAAGGAGGGATGAATTTCTCCACAAAAAGAAACAACAAAATGAAATAGCCAAAAAAGCTGGTCAGGTTTATGCAGCACAATCAGTAGCCCTTACAAGCACAGATGATCTCCATGGCACTGCGGTCTTCAGACACTTCAGTATTCGCTCAGAATAAGTTTTGTGTTCAGGGTTAACATTTTATCTTGTCTTTAAAAGTGTGTCTCTTTACAAAGGGAAATAGAATCTCTTTGGGTTTTTTTACATTTTCTTGTAAATATGTCAATTGAACAGATATTGAAAAGCATTAAATAGTAATCACACCTGACGTGGGTTTTTTCCAGGTTCTTTTTCATCCTAAGTTTGTGAATTCTAATTTGTAAATATAGAAAACTACTGCATATGATTTTGCAGATTTTTACAATATGGACAGAATTTTATTACTTTAAAATATATATCTGAAGCAGAATTTTCATGTCAGCCTGTTGAGAGGCTACTTCTGATCCTACAGCAGTCAGTCACTAAACTTCCCCTGAATTTGGGATAAACAACTGGTCCCACCTTATGAATTTTTACTCCACATGAAAACACTGCTTTTATTTTTTAATTTCTCTATGAAACAATCTCACATCTGATATTTTTATTGGAAGCTGGATTCATATGGCAATGAAAGCTGCCTTTCTCTTCCTGAAATTTGTGTGTTTCCTATCATTAGAGGCCTGTTGGTTTAGAACCAAGGACTTAATATTTTAAAGATTGCAATTATTTTATTTTAATAGTTGCCATTTGTGGATTGACTGAGGAATAGCGAATGTTTTCCTGCCTTAGGCAGCTGCCTTCCATATGGTTGTTGATCTCAAACTAGAAATCTCTGACGCGATTTCATGATTGCTGTGACACTGGACATTAAAGTGACATCAAGCTCAAAATCATCTGCATTGGCTGGCCCTTAACATGCCTTGTTTCAATGTCTATGTCTTTGATGGGGTGAATGGAAGAATGATGAACTTGTTCCCCAAAAGAACCAGAAAGTATTGGTATAAAATACTGGAATAAGCTCCATAGATGGGACCTGTGCATTACTACAATCAACTCAAACAGGAATCTGCTTATTCTATCATATAAACTACAGATGGCAATCAGGTGTATCAATCTGACTTTATAAACTGACTACAGTTTTAATACTCCTAATAGCAGTTAAATTAAAATAATTTAATTATACCATGTTGTTTGTGGCAACTCACCATTCTCCCCACTCAGTAGATGATCAGATCACCTGGGTCATAGGGGAAACATTTATTCTCAGGAATAACAATAATATTTGCTGTGTCCCAAGTCCTTGTGAAGGCAGTGGACATTTTCTGCAATATTAGAAGTTATCTCTGGTTTGTTTCTTTAAAAGAGATTTCTATTCTTCTTTTGTCTCCTGATAATTAACAGAACATTGTTTGTATTGTAGTGGGAGCTGGAGTTCTCCATCAAAGGTCAGAGACCTGTGCAAGATGCTGTCTGGGACTTTAAAAAGTACATAGATATACATACACATGTGTATATATATATATATATATATATATATATATGTATTCCAAAGGAACACAGAGGGATTTGAAAAAATAAATGGCAAGAACACATCAGCATTTGCTGGCCCAATCAGCTGTACTCTGGTTAATGAAGGTGTGTCATTTCCCAAATGCACCTTTTTGAGAGGAAGCCTTCCTTTCACCTCCCTTTCTGACATCCAGCCTCTCTTCCATCGTGTACTGAAGTGGGAACCTGTGATGAATCTTTGGATAATGGACTGTTTGCTTTGACAAACTACTCCTAGTGAAACACGTGCCTGTCTTGGCGACAATAACAGCAAAGCGCGGATTTTGTGGAAGAAATAGAGGCTTTGAGGGCTCCGGCACCAGACTCCGAGTCTATAAATTGCTGGACTGGGATGTTGGATGCCTTTTAATATTTTCAAACATCCAGTAGAGTAATGAAAGAACTGTAGGACTACCCTGATGTAAGACCTCGGGAGAGTTGTTTTCAGAGATCATGGGAGCTCACAACTTGTTTAAGAACATGAAGTCCTATCCGAGTAATAGCTGGAAATAAGTTGCTTGATTTTTCTATCCCCAAAGACAAATTCTTGTAATAGCAAAAGTGTAAAATCCAACAAAGAGAGGCTTGATACTTTCAGATACTCCAGCCACTTCACAGTGGGGAAAAAAAAGACAGACTGACAGTGAAACTATTTGGGGTAAATAATGAGGACAGACTTCTCAGAAATAAACTGGCATGGATTTGGCCATGAGATGTCAGATTCATAACTTGGGAAATGAAAGCCTCTATATACTAGAGAGCAGGCCCTAGCCCAGCAGTGGCAATTCAGCCTTCTGAGCCACAGGGATTTCTTTATAAGCAGTGGTATATTAAATGTGGGATCCAGTAGGCCAAAGGGACAGCAGCAAAACAGAGACAACGTGCAGTGACCAAAAATGAGCTAAAGCCAGACACTAATTACTTCACAGTAATTTTGTTTTCCTGTAGAGTTGACTAATATCTCTTGCTCCTTCAAGGTAAATGCTTTTCCTATCACTTAGATTTTACACCTAGTAAATTTTTTTTTAGTTTAAGCGAAACTGGGGAGAAAGCAGGTTTTGTTTATTTATCCTTTTTCAATGTAAATATGAGGGGTGGATTGTTATACTGTGCATGTAGCTGGAGTGGGCTGAGGAAGAGCACTTTTAGACAGGCCTAGGTCAACAAAACAGATTCATCCATCACATCTGCCAGAATGGAAAGATAGTTGTCTCTATGCTCGGTCAATCGGAGACCTTTCTGCTGAGTCAACTGACAAGATTGCAGATATTTGTGACAAGAAGGACACTTATCCACTAGTAAGTGGACTGAAGACCACCAACATGTTTGGCGGTGGGTCCTAAGCCTGGGAATCTCTAAACTCTTGAACAGCAGCATATTGCTGTTTGCAGTCCTCCTCCCCTTATCTGTGGAGAATCGTTACCAAAAACTAAGCTGGAATAAGATAAAAGAACAAAAGGAAGGGATTCTGAGGTGCTAATGGTGGAAGGTGTGAGAGTCAGTAGAAAGTACAGTAAAGAAACCCATGACAAGTCATGATAAATGGGTCGTTATAAAATTCATGTTTAGGCTGCACCAGTCTGGGGATAATGCCATTCGTCATGGCAACACTGGGGCACTAATGAGCCCTCATTGCATATTCATGGCTTTGGCGCCTCTCTCCTCTCTCTGCCTCCCTCCCACCCCGAACCAATGCCTGGTAAATATCTCCACCTCAAGCTGAAACTCGACTTAGGCTGCTTTTTTTTTTTTTTTTATTTGTTATGTTGCAGCAATTACACTGTAAAAGTGCTGCACAAGATTGATTGCTCTGATCTGTAGTTCAATTGTAAATTAGAATACACATCCCCCTGGGGACACACGGCCCCTATTTGTGATTAAGAAAAAAGCCCCATAATAGACTAATAGCTAAAGTTCTCTCTCTTTTACTTTCAGGCAATTAGCTTGATGAAATGGCCTCTTTTTGTGTACCCTGGAAGTGTAAACCGATATCATAATGAAGTATATGATGTTTATTCTATTATTTTCACCTTGCCATGTATGCAGGAATGCATAAATAATGGCTGCTTTGTCTAGTACATTTACTGATTCAGAAGTAAACTCTGTCTTAAAGATGCAGCATGTGATCCCACAGCCTTATGTTAAGCTGGACACTGTGACTAGTCCCTATAAAAACTAATGTTCTGCCCAAAGAAGTTGGAGACAATTTTTAGTCAGGTGATTAAATACTGTTTGCAGGACACTTTCATTTATGATGAAGCTTAATTGGAAAATCCTCCTAATAACCTTGTGAGAAAAAAGGTATTTCCATTTTACAGAAAGGAAGTCCGAGGGGGAGACGCTGAACACGTTACACAAGCCCACACAGGACCTTAATAAGTGCTTAAGAAATCCTACCTCCTTGAATGTTTTTTCAGGCAACGAGAAGCTCCCATTCCTCTCTCTTGTAAAGAGTTATTAATGCTGTCCTGTATGGGTCATGCAGTGCCTCTGACCTTAACTCACCTCAAAGACATACAGCTCCGCAGTGTCACAGTTGTCTTCATTCCCATGTGACATCCATGGCTAAAGCTCTTTCACCTAAATCCAAGGTGGATATGGTCATGCCCATATTCAATATCATGTGTTGGATGTTGGCTTTCCCAAGGCTCAATTTGAGCTGTCAGTCTGAGCAAATGAGTCATGTTGTGCAATGGTGTTATAACACGGGGACGGTGTTCGTGCAGTTGAGCTCGAGATAAATATCTGGGAAGAAAACTGCCATGTGATGATAGCTCTGGGCATATCTGCTTTGTGAGGAAAGGTGCTTCTACATTAGCCTTTCACTTTGGCCCAGGAGTGCACTTTTGAAGTGAACCCTCCAAATGACCCTGCTTACCCCATCCCACCCGGCCAGGCAGCCTCGGAACACGCAAACGGAATTCTTTTGTGTGAAATCAAACCAGGTGATGTGGCCTGGGAGCTCCAGCAGCTAACGGGGATTCAGTGCACTGGAGCATGCTAGGACTGGTCCGAGTAAACCTCTGACATGCAGTGACCTGGGGCCAGTCCCTGCTCTCCAGTGCACAGCGTAGACATACCTTTATTTGCCTGTTTGCTAAGCAGAGCAGAGTTCCTATCCAAGGGATTGTGAGAAACTCGGATAGGAGGACATGTGAAATGGCCTGAAAATCCTGCCTGAGGAAACACACTGCTTTCTGTATAACCCTATCACAATAGAAATATTTCCATTTAGTTTAAATTCTGCGTGAGAGAGATTCTGAAGGGGAACATAACAGAGCTTGGAAACATTTTGCTGAGAAGCACTACCAGTGCAAACCTTCAAAGTGTAACTCTGTACATGGCTACAAAACCATATTCTGTTTAAACTTGTTCATCATTGTCTTCTTGCATGACAGCCCTGGCATTTAAAATATGTTAGGGGTGACACAATACTTTCACCTGGTGCAGACATATATCACTGGAAGGATGTTCTCATAAACAAAGTGCTGCAGGCTATGATCTTATCATTCTCCTCTTCCTTCTTCTCAGCTCAGTTCAATGACAAACACGTATTTCTCTTCTTTGCTCCAGTTTTCTGCTCTACAGAAGCCTGGTGTTGGAGCAACAGGTGATGTTGCAAATCAGGAATGACAAGCACTTGTGGTGGCCTGGTGGGGGGAAGCAGCATCAGAGGGGGCAGCAAACATGCAACAAATTTTATCCTGCTCCAGCTGGTGCAACTTCATGGCATGAGCAGAAGTGCACTCACGTGCATGCCCGCACACGAGTGGGTTTTTTTGAGAAAGACAAAGCAAATTAGAGTGTTCATGTGTAATTAGCTGACTATTAGTGTGGTTCAACCAAGGCAATAGGCAGACAGTTAACTTGGAGATAGCTCGCAGATAAAAGGGCTGAGGAGGGTGTTCTGGGGAAAGCTGGAGGTAATGGTTCAGAAGATAAATTCCTGACAAATTGAGCAGGCATCTCAGAATGTTCTTGCCCTACACCACCAGCACAGTGAAGCTATACAGGCCTTCCCTCTCTCCCCTACAGAGCTTAACCCTTCTTGGCACCCAGGGCTCTTTCTCCTTGGACAGCTCACTTCTAAATTATTTATGAATTATAATTTTCTATTTAAACGCATTAGTTTGGACTAAAATCACGACATTTCCTGCTCATGCTTCCTGCCCTTCTTCTTGTGCCAGCATGTGAAACAGAGCCTATTACCCATGTAGAGGCTGGAATATCCCCAGCTATTTATCTGAGAGTGACCAGATCTAGTAAAAACTTTATCATTTACCATAAGTAAGCATCACACTTGGGGAGAAACCCAAGGTGCGTCCAAGTTCAAGTCATTGCAACTTCTATGAAAATGTGGGTGTTTTAGTAAATGTTTGTGCTAAATGAAAATGTCATTATAATTTTCTCTCATTTTACAGCTGACAGGGAAGTGCTTTTTTCTGTCCTTTGGGAGTTTTCAAGACTTCATTTTTTTTCAGCTAATTCTGTGGCTAACCAATAAGCTGCTAAAATGTAAAAAAATCTAACTGAGCCATTTGATTCAGTAGTTTCAAAATATTTCAATTTTTTTGCTTTCACTTATAAATTAAAAATTAAAATCAAAATATATTTCAAAGCAAATAAATGTTCACTTAGAAAAATATGTATAGGGACACTTGCAATTATTTTGAAAAGTCTTTAACATCTTTTTTTTCTGTTGAGAAGCTTCATGAAAACTGCATTATTCAATCCAAACCTTTTTCCCTGTTTGGCATTTTTCAGCACAAATTTTTCATGAAAAACCCTAGACATAATCCACTTTTATGATCAATTCAGTATATTAGGGTGCTCTTGTTTGGGATGACTTCTGAGGAGGAATAATTGAGAATTTCATGCTGAGTTGATCCAGTACTGAAATTCTCAAATATTGCTGAAATTATTCATGCTTCTGAGTATCCATTTACGGAAAAGCCTACATTTCTTAGGGCCTGTGGCCCCTTTCGTTCCTCTCAAATAAGATTGATCTGAAGTGTTTCTGTTGAAGTAAAAATTTATCATGGCTTTTGCACAACTCGTACACTATTTTTTTTGCCACTGTGTAAACTCCATAGCAAGTCTGTTAGAACTCTGTCCTGCAAGGAAAGTTCACACTTGATATTTCAGGTTAAATGTCCTCGTATTCTGTCATACCAGACACAGAATTCACCAAATAGACAGAAGAACTTGCACTACTGGGGTGGGTCCAGCCCCATTTACTAAAAAACATGTTATTTTTTGCTGACAGTAGATCACTTCTAAGCATACAATTAGCAACTTTTGGTACATAGCTGCTTTTAACCCCCAAAGAAAATTACCACTTGCTACTTTTAATGCTCGTTTGTAAGCATTTTGTCATGAGCAAAAGTTGGAGTAAACTCTCTACGGAAGAAATGTTGAATCAAGAGCACAAGATTGTGTTGATGTTTCTGTTCGTCTTGAAGGAGGGAACTTTCTGCTGTAGATCTCAAGTTATGCTCAAGGGGAAGAACAGCACGTACAAGGAGGGGAGCCAAGAGTCTGCCACTAGAGATAAACCCTGGGGACAGTGTCAAGGTAAGGGCCCTTACCAGCCACTCAGGAAATGTTTTCTTCCTGACTCTTGCTGCCCTGCTGACCTTCTTCCCGCGGTCGTTTTCCTCATCCCACCTTGCAGAACGACAGGAAAACGTGAGGTTTTGCACATGTTTCTGGAGAGAGGCTTGTCTTGCCTAGAAGCAGCAGTTGTGTTCAACCAAAGGTCCTGCAATCCCCTCACCATCTCCTATGAGGAGCAGCTGAGGGAACTGGGAGTGTTTGGAGGAAAGGAGGATCAGGGGGGACCTTGTCACTCCCTACAACTACCTGAGACAAGTTTGCAGTCAGGTGTGTGTCGGTCTCTTCTCCCAAGTAACAAGAAATAGGACAAAAAGAAGTGGCTTCAAGTCACACCAGGGGAGGTTTAGGTTGGATATTAGGGAAAATTTCATCACTGAAAAGGTAGTCAAGCATTGGAACAGGTTGCCCAGTGAAGTAATGCAGTCAACATCCCTGGAAGTGTTAAAAAAATAAGTAGAGGTGGTGCTTAGGAACATGGTTTAGTGACAGACCTAGAATGTTAGGGTAATGGTTAAACTTGACGATCTTAGAGGTCTTTTCCAGCCTTCATGATTCCATGATTCTATGATCTCTGTGGCAGAAACCCCCAGCACATATACGGAAAAATGTCAGAAGCCAAAACTAATTCTTCTCATAAGGTATTCTCCTTGTTCCTATCACTCAGTGCATTACAGACTGACAACAGAAGTTGCATAAACCAAGAATGTTTAATGATATTCTAGCCTGATTATATTTTTGGTATTCTGTGGCAGAAAATCCTGCAATTTAATTATGCTGCATGACAAAAAATTTTATTGACTTTAAACCTCTTTTGCTCCTTGTATAAACATAGTCAATAAATATTCCCCTCTTCAGAATATTCTTCATAACATTTGTCACAGTATACACCTCAGTCATCTCCTTTCAAAGAGTTCTAAATTTGTCTAATTTTGCTTTGAATGGAAGCAGATACATACAATTACTGAGAAGACAACCACTATCAAACCCAACTCTTGTTACAGAGACTGAAACGCTTCCAAAAATTAATTATTTAAAATAATCCAAACACTGCAAATATCCAAAGATCAGGCAGATCTATGAAACTTGCCTGCAGCAAAATCATGCAATTAGAATCATGCTCATAAGTGTTGCAGTCTTAAAACATTAATAGATCATTTTAATGGAAGGAGTTATTAAAATTGTATTTGATTTGCATTATTACAACACTGAATGCGCTATGGAAAACTGAGTTCATCAGTGAGGTACAGCACAAACCAGAGTCTTATTATCTGAGCTGGAACTTTAAAATAGACCATGCTTTACAGTTCTGAATTTTCTTTAGTTTTATTTCTTTTCTAAATTGATAAGAACTCTGGGTTTTATATTAGAAATAGAAAATGAGGAGGAGGATAAGAAAACAGCTGGAGATTGAAATAAAGACTGAGAAAAGCAATTTGAGGAAAAAACAATCCTTTCCAAAGTAAGTAATTTTTATCATAAATGAGATGTATTGTTGTGATCATAACCACTATCAAAAGTCCCATGAGTTGCAGGGTTTCTGTAGACGATTTAGGAAGAAGTTGGCCCAAATGTGGAAGCAATTATAAAGAAATTCATGACTCTTTAGTAAGCATTCCTTGTTTTATTTCTGTTACAAATAGACTGTAATTTGTGGATCTCTATCTGACATCTTTTTATTGGGCACTTACCCTCCCTGACCTGTTTATAAAATTCCCCATTTCATTAGTGGGACATCACCAGCAAATCTGATACACAAATGTCTCCTTTAATCCAGCAGGAAGCAGAGTCTGTTGGAGTTAATGGAATAATTTCAATCATTTCTAACAGATTTAGGAATAAACCCGCAAGGGTTAAAAGAATATATATAACCATAATTACAAAGTGGAAAAAAGAATACAGTTTCTTTGCAACTGAGATATTTTTAGGGTTTTTGTTCTTTAGAATCCCTGTACAGGTATGTCCCTCATGCACAGTTGTCAAAAATAGTGTTTAGGCATTTAGGCTTGAGTTGATTTAATCCAGTACAGAAGTGTGCTCTAAATTTTTTAGGGCAGTGCAAATGTGTAAAAATGGTGTCTTCGTGTACAAAAGCTCCATTTCACTTAGAAGAACCATGCTAATAAATTAAATAAATGAGAGTATTTCTATTAAAAATAGAAACAATGTCACATAGAAAAAAATATCTTCGATCTTCTGAACTTAATATGTCTTAAAACTCAATGTTCAGATCCTGAGCAGGTGTAAATCATCACAGAAATTATGCTGTTACACTTTACATGATATTACCAAATTGTCTTGCTGGTAATTAAGAATATCCTCTATGGAATAAGGACCAATGACAGGAGAAAGTATAAGTTGATATTGTCTCAGCACACATAAGTGGTAGACAGAAATATTCATGTGCATAATCTTATACCTTGCCTACATGATACCCAGTGGGCTAAAGTAATAGTGTACAGAATTATCTTGGAAAAGACAATTCTCAACAGAAACTAAAAATCTTATGAGTTGTCTGTGTTTCTCATAATTATACATGGCAAAAATGGAGATAAAACTAACAGGCATGCTCTTGGAAAATGTTTCTTTAAAAATGCTTCTTTAAACTTTCAGCATATTATACTCAAACGCTTTTCAGGCCCAATTTTTCTGTATTTCATGCCAAGAAAATCAGTATTTCTTTCTCCCTTTCTTTTCATGGGTCTATTATGTTTGCAATCTACAGCCCAGGGAAACATATGCAATTCCTATTATTCAGGAAGGAAACAAGGTTGTTCTGATCAAACATGAAATTTTTGCCCTGAATTTTTGGTGTAAATTTCAAGGGGAAAGGCCACCTGGGAAAACAGCCACTTCCATGAAGAGCCGAACAAGCCACTCTGTCTGCTACAGCTCAGCTCCTTTAACTTACCAACACAATGAGATTTTTTCAGAATCAAACTTTTCTTTAAAAAGCAAGTGCTTCCCTTCCTTGATATTAAAAGTGAACCTCTCCTGATTCTTGTGAAAATTATTTTTAACAGCTTCCTTGAAGAGA